ATTCGAAAGTGTTTGAATAAAGAATAAAAATTTATTCATCATTCGAAAATGTTTGAATAAAGAATAAAAATTTATTCATTATTCTAAAGTGCTTGAATAAAGAATAAAAATTCATTCGTCATTCAAAATTATAAAAATTATGAATAAAATTTTACTTTTTATTTGAATAAAAATTCATTCAAAAACGCCCATCCCTGAGCCCAATAAAGCTTGTGCAGAGATTTTTAATAATTTTTTTTTTGTTTTCAATAACCTTATAAATTTTCAAATAAAATTTAGTATGCAGTTTTGTAGCGCATTTTTATATGAAGAAAATGCCTAGCATAACAAGATAAATCGCGCTTAATTAATAATATTTTGCAGCCACTAAAAACTCGTACCAGGTGTTGTATTCTACCAAAATTTAGTGGGCTAAAAAACCGAATGCTCGATATTTTCTAGAAAATATAATTAACTTCTAACAGCCTTTTTTTTTTATTTGTATATAGTTTAAAAATAAGTCTATACAAAATTAATGAATATTAAATAAACAAAAAGAAAACTGTCAATACTGAGAATTATAGGGGTCCCCTATTCAAATGGCGGGAAGTGTACATATACATACATACATATCCATATATGAAATAGTCATCTATAAAAACTCCTGCAGATTGAAACTAAGACAACTTAGCAGCCCCATTCATTTTTGGTACCAGCCTTAAATTGACATTTTAAACTTTCTAGATTGTCTAAAGCAATATGAATCAATTCAGAAAAAATCGAATGTCGATTCTTGTATGTTTGATCAAGTGATGAGTGATTTATAGAGTGTGGGTTTCGTACGTCGAGAGAGAACTTTACAACTTGAATTGAATTGCCTACTCAGTTCAAAGTAGCACTTGCTGGCAAGAGTGATTCTGTTTTGGATTTCGATGCTGGCATTATTATCGGTCTTAATGTTGGTTCCCAAGTAAACGAAATTCTCTACTTTCTCGAAATTATAACTGTCAACAGTGACGTGGGTGCTAAGGCGATATTCGATTTAATCGATTTAAAAACGACATCTCTACACCATACTACATACATACATACATTAATATAAAAAGTTTAGAGTATAATAAGTCATCATAGTATAAAGTATACTTACGAAATGTAAGTTTCTTTTTATACTGAAATAACCGATTTAACTGAAGTTACTTTTTTAAATAAAATTTATTATTTTCGGTGGTATAATTTCCTTCCTTTTTTGTTAAATTTGAAATCGTAACGTTAAACCGAACCTCACATGAGCAGAGCTGTGGTCGAAAGCTGGGAGATACATACATACATACAACATATTCATTAGGGTGGTACTTAAAAACTCAAATGAACGATTATCACGGTCACGGATATATCACATATAAATTTTGGTTCCGATTGTAGTCGATTAAGACGTCTTCGTAGGGTAGCCTACAATTTCCCCCTTCTGCGATACGCCTTAACCGACTTCAAACGGGACCAAAATTTATATGCGACATCTTCGACCTATGGGGTTGCGGCTTAGGAAGTTTGAAGTAAAATTTGCTTCCTACATCTAAGGACCACCCTAATATACATATGTACAGTTGCAGAATTTACACAGCCTTCTAGTATTAGTTTGTTTTTTTCTTTCTCCCGCTTTTTCCCAAATCCTTGCAGCAACGCTTTAACAAGCTTTTACCTCGTTATGTTGCTAGTTTATGGCCTTCATTCTTCTTTCGAAACGCATTTTTCTTGCTTTCAAAATATATTATATGCATTTTATAACCACTTAAATATTGCCATAAATATCTCTGAGCTGAAAATATAGCATGAATAACGTTTAAAAATCGCTGCATCGAAATGCAGGCGTACGCTAAAGGCAGGCACACAAGCTCAATAACGGCAGGCATACAGCTAACAATTGCCATCAATCTTGCATTGCTAGCGAATCACTCATACGCAATGGGGCAACGACGAAGACACCGACACCGGAACAGAACGATAACTTTAACAATCTATGCAGAGCTTGTTGTAATGGCAATAGATCAAAGCGTTATATGGCGCGTTACAGTTATGCATTTCAAGAGCATACACAAACGCTTATGCAGACACACGCATACATACATACGTGCTTGCATAAATATTCGCCGGCAAACGCCACAATCGCATGTAGACCGGATTCCTAAACCAAAGGATGTATTGCATATATGCGAGCGTGTTCACGCTGGTTTTGCTTTGCCCAAGCTGAGTTGCGTGGGCTGTGCAAGCAAGCAGGCGAATAGTCAGCTCTTACACTAACACTTGCAAAAAACTGCATCACAAAGTGAGCGGTAAAAAGTGTTTTGCAATCTAGCGTATTGGAACAAAAAAATTGAGTTAGCGTTAGGATGAAGAAATGGGCAACAAAACTGCAGATACAAAAACTAGCAGGAATGCCATAACACATCAGCAATCAAAAACTGGGATTTATGAATTCGCTAGTTTGCTTTGTTGTTTTACTTTTTTCTTTTTGAATTTTTTACCTTGGCTTCTTCGCTTCGAACCGAGTGGTTAGACGTGTGCACTACAACTGCACCTAGGTCCTAGGTTCGATGCCTGGTTCAAGCAACATCTAAAATTAGAAAAAGTTTTTTTGTAACAGTGGTCGCCCCTTGGCAAAAATTCGAGTGTATTTCTGTGTCATGAAAAAGGTTCTCATAAAAGCATTTGCTGTTCGGAGGCGGCGTAAAATTATAGATCCCTCCCTTTGTTTTAAGACCTCAGGACGCACACCAAAAATTTGTGAGCAGAAGCTCGGCCAAAGACTTAGAAAAAAAGTTTAAGCGCCAAATATTTTCGACATGGCCTTCTTGTGATAGCCAACTCGCTGAGCTGGCGGCCTGTGTCTGTGGTAACTGTGCGCTGTTGCACAATCGCAATGCGCATACGCCTCAATGTATGCAATGTAATGTAATGTATTTATCAATCAGCGACTACCTACTCGGTATGCATTCCATTTGGCTCAATCGGAAAGCCAGGAAACTGGCTGCCTGTGTCTTGCTAAAAATTTGCCACGCGTACTGCTGTAGTTTGTTTGAATGCTTTATTTTTGAGTGCTTGTTTTAACTTTTTTTCTGCTTCTCACTCGTTTATTCATATCTTTCTGCTGCTGTTATTTGCAGAATTTATCATTTTCTTCTTGCTGAAAGTGCTTGCATTCGTAGGGGTAGATGCACCTATACACATATGTACATGTGCACATATAAATGCTATGTATGTGTGCTATATTTGTGCGTGGAAAATGTCTGATAAATTGGATTTTTTATCAGTTTCGCTTTGCGCTGAAACTTGTTTGATTTCTTATGTTTTTTTTTTTTACTGAAGCGTTTTTTAAGCATATACGATTTAAAAGCAATTTGTGTACCACATATTAAATTCCTTGGAAAAACTTGCTTGTTTCGTAATTATTTTTCAAACGAGCCCGCAAACATACACTGGACGTTGAAAGTATACTCGTAAGAGTTACAATTATAATTGTATATAATTATAGTGCTTATCATAACTATACGACCCCACATATTGACTAGCTTTGACCATTTATTAGATTTTAGTTTTTTTTTTTAATTTAGTTATTTTGTAACAAAAACTACATAAGTACAGGTTTAAAAAACATCAAAACAAAAAGAATTTTTAAAAATTCTGAACAAAGTACTATGTATGTATGTATGTATGTGCAATTTTGATAAACAATATTTTAATTTTTTTTTTTAATTTTTGCACCAAGTTTAACTAGGGTTTATATGGGTTTTGCTATAAGAATTGGCCTTGTTTTTATAAAAACAGTAACTAAAATTAAATCTATATCTATACTAATTATATAAAGGGAAGTCCCTTTTTCGCTTTCAGAAACCACCATATCATAGGCCAAACAAATTTACTTTTTTCCGGTAGGTGGACAAAGGACATATCTATTCCAAAAAAATCTGATGTATTGTCCGATTTCATTGAAATTTGATACATAGATAGCTTTTTGCCTAGATTAACATATATGATCCCTTTTTTCGGTAAGTGGACCAGGGAACGATCTATGCGAAAACATCCTATTTATAGTACGATTNGAATTGAAAAAGTAATCGATTCCTTTGCTGTGAGCTAAAGGAATTGAATCCTAATTACAATTACTGAGGAATGTAATTGTAATTGTAATGTAATTGCATTTACCCAGCTCTGACGATTTGCTTGAAATTTTCTTTATAACAAGGACGAATAGATATTGAAAAAGCTATTATAGTTATATTTATTGTGTTATGCTAGTAAAGATAGAACAACGTGTATATATCAGTCTATAACATGTAGTTTTTCCGAAATAAATATTTCAAGGAAAATTTCACTTTTAATTGATACCCATATTCTTATTCTACATTAACCTAAATTTTTTAAAATAATTGATTGAATTAATCATTTCTTTGAAACTTCAAAGTTCTCTAAACAACCCTGACGTCAGAGAGAAACCTAAAAACTCAGGTTGCCTATTTTTCTTCAACGCCTCTGTCTTTGTAGGCATCCTGGGGCTGTTCGAGACGCCAATTTTCAAGTCTCGCTAAGATTTAAGTTCAAAAATCAAAACTTGCATCAAATAATGTATTCTAACTACACCCAAATTTCTATGGAAAAACAGTTTCCCGGCGCCATTGAAGCCATTAACAACAATTTAGATTTTTATTTTATTTTATTTTTCTATCGAGTGTTTAGAATTTGTACATTTAACTTTCAACGTTCGCTAAGCTTCTTCCACGAAACCATTACTAGCGATGCTGCTTGCTAACGCAATATCCCATGAAATGAAAACAAAAGCAAAGCAATTTCAATTTGAAGTTTTTGGTGAATTGTTGTGTTTTTTGTTTTTTTTTTTGCCTTCTGCTTTAGTTGCTGTTACAGATTGTCAGCGCTGTTGTGGCCGATCGTTACACGCATTTTGTTGTTGACGCCACTATTTGTTGACAATATTTTAACCATAAATATGTATGAATACGTACATACCTAGATAGTATTTGTTTGCGTCTTTGTACACTCGTGAACATTAGACTGGTAAAAAAAAAAAATTTCCCCGAGATAGGGTTTGCGGCACCTTCCAAAATTTTTCCTCTTGCCGAAAGAAGTGTTGATTCCATACTTTACGTTTCTAAGTATAAATTTAGAGGATGCTCATGTTGCTCATATTTTACTCTAGAAACATTTTGTACATATCGATGTCTGAGTGGAAGATCGACCTATCTCGGCAGCCAGTTCGAAAACGACCTATCTCAGAAAACTTTTTTTATCGAAAAAAATATCACAAGCTTCTGTTGTCATGGCAACAGTAGGATTTTATAAAAATCGCCAATATTTTTGCCAGTTTCACAGCGATCCTGTAGCGCAATTCAAGGTCATTGTGCACCCTGTATTGGTTACAGTAGAAAAATGGAAGCTGGTATGGATATTACAAATATCAAAAGAAAAACAAGTAAGAAAGTCTAAGTTCGGGCGGAGCCGAACATTAAATACCCGGCGCAAGTATTAAATATATGTTTTCCTCCTTTCCGAAAGCTACCGCTACTTGATAAGCCGGGGTGTATACATTTTAAGTAAATTAGCGTCCTTAAATTTCGAAATATTGAAATTTCAAGCATATCTGAAATTTACCGTTATATGAAAAGCGGCCTCAATTTTAGTCCGATTTCAACAATTTTCAACGGTTTGCTTTTATGTGGCAAGCACAATAACCATACCGAGCTTGGTACAAATTGCTAGAACGGTTAGCGAGATACATATATGTGATCACAAGTGGGCGGTGCTACGCCCATTTTCCAAAATTTTGTCATAAACGTATTTCTTGGTAAAGAATTGTTGCAATCATCAATTTTGAATAAATTAGCTTCAATATTTACTGATTTATCGAAGATTTTGTATTTCTCGAAATTACCGTTATATGGGATGTGGGCGTGGTTATTGTCCGATTTTAGAAATTTTCGGCCATTTGGTATGTTGTACCAGGGCCAACAATTGTGCCAAGTTTGGAAGAAATTGGTGCAGCGGTTACCAAGATATACACATGTAACCATAAGTGGGCGTGGCTACGCCCATTTTCCAAAAATTTATAATATTCATGTTTTCCGTCTGAAACTCATTGTAAGTATCAATTTTGAGTGAATTATCTTCAGTAGTTACTAAAATATCGCAGTTTTCGTATTTCTTAAAATTACCGTTATATGGGAGGTAGGCGTGGTTATTGTCCGATTTTGCCCATTTTCAATACCATCCGTCCTACGCCCGAAAGAAGTACACGTACCAAGTTTCGTTAAGATATCTTAATTTTTACTCGAGTTATCGTGTGCACAGACGGACGGACGGACGGACGGACAGACAGTCACCGCTTAATCGATTTCTCTTTTCATTCTGATCATTTATGTATACATTTGTCTATATCTATCTCGATTCGTTTTGCCTGTTACAAACAACCGTTATGTGAACAAAGTTATAATACCCTTGTGCACAAGTGCGCTCGGGTATAAAAAAACTGAGGGAGTGCACCGTTTTCTAGGCTGAATTTTTGTTTTTACCATACAAAAATTGGACCACTCTAATGCACATACATATACGTTGGTGTGTATGTATGAATGTGTAAGGCGCGCGAATTTCGACCTTATTTTAGTTGCTTGTATTAAAATGTTTACCGAAACTCTACCTTAAATGGCAGGAATGGCGCAAACGAGCAATTGCTGCTGCCTTGTTGTTTTCATTCTGCATTGCATATTCGCTGCGCTTTGTAGCTTTTGTTTTTATTTCAATGCGTTTGTATATTGTTTCTTGGTAAGAGCGCTGCTCTGATATTGTTGCAGCCTTACTGTTGGATGTCTTTTTGCTTTCTACGCATGCGGAGAACGTCGAAAACAGCGAATAAATAGTAAAAGTTGTTAAACAAAATGAAAAGTCAGAGGTGCAATCTAAGAAAAGCAGAAAATTGCTTGTTAAGCGATTACGAATAAAGGCGAACAGATCGCGGAGGATGTAGGAAAGAGCAGTTTACATAAGTCAATCAAAATGCGAACGTGCACATATGTATGGTTGTATATTTATATGCATGTGCATTAGGCCAAGCAAAAAAAATCCTGCAATGCTACCAGAAACTGACTCAAATTTTAGTATTTTATATGCTCCTCTGAGGGCAATATATTTTTATGGGCTCAATCAAAACATCCGAAACTGTAAGGATACATCGACTATACGCTAAATGCTTTTTGTAATCACTAGATTTTACCCAAACAGGGCAAGCTAAATAAAACCGATTAAAAAAGGATAATTTAGTAATTTAAAAGATCTCAGTCTGCATGGCGTATAATCATTGTATCAGTGATGGGCATGCGTAAATGCTTTTGTATTTAGAGTACTTGTTTGGTTACTATACACTCAAACACTTAGTATTTGGAGATGTCTAAGTATTCGAGTACAAACGACTTGGGTATTTACGAACTGCTAGATACTAAAGTAAAAAAAATTAATATATTTGGCAGG